TGGAGTTTTCTGCTGTGGAGGAAAACTCCGGTGCAGGGACGAGTTTCCCGCCTATTTGCAGCTTCTTTTGCAGGGTGCATTGCTCAAGTTGCAAGAGAAATGCACGGTGCAAAAGAGTTCCTGCCACCCGCATGCAAATTGGTGTCCCGCTATTGGCTAGTTCTAAATTATTCCTACGTGGCGGCTAGTAATTGGCTTGCTAGCCGTTTAAAATTTTGTGCGACTTCCGCCCAAGTCAAAGAACTTTGAGCACTCTGCAGAGTGCCTCTAAAGAGGTCTGACTTGCGGCTAGCTGATCGATAGACTGATCACCTATCGATCCTTCTTCCCGTCGCCGAGCGCAATCCCAGACGTACCCTTTTCCCGCCAGCTTAAATTTCGGACGGATTAACTGGCTTGGGCCTCGCCAGCTGGAACAACTCACGTAGTTGTTCAGACGACCGGACCATCTGCGTCGCAACTACAAGCGGCCTAAGTAAAAGTTTTTGCAACCATTAAACCTTGTCTGCCTCTCCATTCACCAGCCCGCCCTAAAGAACAAGCAGTTTCTAAATCACCTCGAGTCGGCTCTGGCCGTCCAAGACACATCTGTGTACAGGCACCTGAGATAACCAGTCAATTGCCCTGATTTCTCAGGAAGAATGAGAACATCTCTGCTGTAACCCACCCTCCTCCCCCTGCCTGCTCTTCCTCCTGGCTACCAACATCCCCACTTACATCAGGAGTTGAGACTTTGATCTCCCCCCCCGGGGTGGACCTAGTTTAAATGAAATAGTTGGGAGAGAAATCAGACAAGCTGGGGGGCACAAAATGCCCTTCTTTGGCTCTAGGAAAAGAAGAGATACAGCCTAAGCTATTTAGGTAAAACAATTATTTTGTTTAAAACTGTGGAGCAAAAATAAGTCATCAGAAATAGCTATAAAAGTTACTGTTCTACATAGTATTTAGCTCAGGCTGTATCTTTTTCTTTCCTGGAATAGAGGAAGGACATTTTGTGCCCAAAAACTTGTCTAGAATCTCTTCCAATTGTACAGTAGGTCCAGGAAAAAAATACTGCCAAAAAGTTTTGCTTCTGATTTACTCTGGGATTATCATGGTAACAACAACACTACAGAAACATTGAAAGAAAGAACTACTAGTCCTCTCGGTAAGTTTATTACTAAAGCATGCCTTTGCTTTCCCCCCTTGGCTCTTACCCTTCTCTTTGCCCAACATGATTCTTATAAATCTTGCTTTTGGTGGGAGTATTAGATGGATTAACAGTCTATTATATACCTGAAGGATGCTCTACACACAGATTCAGGTAATGGTTAATTTCTTGTTGATCAGCACTATCTGGAACACAAAAATGGAAGCTGGAGTGTATCTAAGAACCAAAAGCCTGTCTGATCTCTAACATAATATCTCCTATTTGTGATGGTAAAAGAACAGAACTGATAGACAGGCACAAAAAATCATGTTTTATGCTTCCATTAAATTGCAATATAGCAACAAATTCACATCTGATTGCCCATGAACAGCAGCAGCCCTGTTATCATCCTATAAAATGCTGCAGTTACACAAAACAGCTAAGCAGGGGAGTAAGTGCTGTATATACAGTCTGTTTTGTAAGATTTACGATCCTGGCCTTGTTATAATTGCCTCCATTTGGATGCCAATTCCGCTGTTGATATTATATTTTTAAATGAGTTCATGCATTATGCAAAGTTGAAAAAACAGCCCTACTATGTTATCAGAGACCTCAAGGCTACATTTCTGTGGTCAGATTCCGTGTTATTATTATTTTTCTTGGTTACCATTAAAAGTAAAATTACACTGCAACCAACCCAGCTGTGTGTTATTTAGAGAGGCAGCATTATTATAAAGACATGTTTTTGCTAAAGGCAGTAGCAATGATTTTTTTTCCTCATTTTAAAACCAATTAAGAAAGAAAATCATTTTATTAACTTATTTTGTATATTTTCCTTTGAAAGAACAGCTTCTTCTCATTGACTGAAGGCACAAAATTTTCCATAGGAGCTCTGGCAGAACAAACATAAGTTATTGTGCATTCTAAAAGATCCTATTTGTTAGCTCATTCGTGTTAAGATCCAACAGACAAGAAAAAAATTCTTCCAATGGGAACTCTTGCCATCGGGCAACATGCAAGGGCCCAGGTACTTAGCTGTGCTGTGCAGCAGAGAAACGGTGAAGGGTTTCCATCAACTTTCCACCCCTTGAATGTGGGCCAAAATAGCCATTGAGGCTAAGTACAGATAGTCAAAAGGCTTGATGCTGAGTCAATTCAATCTCTAGGTTAATCTAAGTTATATAGAGTGAACCGATAAACAAGTGAACAGCCATTTATGTTTGATTCCAGAAATGTAGCAACATGCCTGCAGTGGCCAATGTCAAACGCCAGGGGGTGCTAAAGTATGCCTCACTACTCAGCTGGAGCAGTCATCTTGGGCTAAGGTTAGCCCATGAACCCTGAAAGTTGTGGGGGAGAGGAGGGGGATTTGCAGGGGTGGTGCAAAGCATAGGGAGATGCTAAAGGACTAGGAGTTATCTTGAATCTGGAGAGGATCTGGGGCAGAAGTTCAATAAACTGATCTAACCTAAATCAGTTAATTCTGATACCACATCCATCCAGGTTTATCTTAAACCAGTTTTAGCCATTTTGAAAGTGAACTTCTGTTGTGTTATGAACTTGAACCAGTTTCCAATCACTTATATTAGTTTATGTGTAATTTCTGTCCCTAGCCTGAGGGTGAAGTTACACATTACACTTAGACCACACTAATGTAAGCATCTGCAAATGAAAGTCTAGCTTGTGTTAAGATAACTTTAGTCTGCTTCACAGAGATAAAATAAGCAATCTGTAGTCATCTATCATTCCAGGAGGCATCACTACCAGCTCTCCCCTTCCCCACCCAACTCTGAACTGGGATAGAGCCCAGGGGTCTAGGCTCCTAGCTATGCCCCAGCTTGTTAGCTGTCTAGTGGCAAGTCAGGGCTGCATAGGAAAGAAATGTTATTAACCCTTAATATGTGACTGCTCACAAGATTTTTTAACTTTAGCACCATATAACATTCTACAGATTTAGTGTGCTCCAATGTAACATGTAACTTCACCTTCAGAGGCTCCAAGTTGTATAATATTACCAGCTGTTATTGTCCTATTTGTTTCATTTTGAAAATCACTGACCATTGCAAAAGAAACCAATCTACACTTCAAAGGACACATCTATACATACATTTAAGCGCAACTAAATGTAATGCACATTAAGCTAATTTAATGCACATTAAGCGATATTTGGCAGATGTTTACAAATGCAAGGACTTGGCTCTAAAGTTAGTGCTAGTCTGCATCTATGTGTGTTAATGCGCTTTAACTAATCATGCCTAAATTTGATACCTGCATTTGCAGGTATCAAATTTAGGCGCAATTAGCCTTAAAATTTTTGCCATTTTAATGCACATTAAGGGTAAGAATGCATGAACACATGCCCATAATGCACATTAAATTAGGCTAATGTGAATTAATGAATATCATGCAGATGCCCCCTAATAAGTTGTTTTAAGAGTACAAGAATTATTCATGGCAAGCACAGATGTTTATGGTACTATCCATAGAAGGGGTAATCGTTACAAGCAAAGAAATCACCCCATCTGTTTCCCAAAACTTGCTGGTGGAGTTTTAAGAAGCCTGAAATTCCCCTTCAGGTCATCACTGATAGTACTATAAGGAAAACTGAATGTGCTCATTTGGATGTTCTTGATGATCTATCCCTTTTTAAATGCCTTGAGAGTCAACGGATGCCTGTATAATTCAAGCTTCCTGACAGTAATCTCCAATTTCTTCTACCTTTCTTGAAAAACAGTAATGGACGGCAGGAATAAACATATATGGGAAAAGAAAAGGAACAAAGGAACAGCAGCTTCTTTCAATGAAAAGCAATTATGTTCTTGTTACAAGCTTAAGTGGAAGCAATGCAAAGTGTAATCCAAAGCTCATTGCCAACTCTTACTGTAGCATTAGTTACTCCTAACCACAGAATGTTCATTTATATTTAGCTCAACTAGCATGTGATCCTAGCAAGACTAAGATGGTCCTTATCAGGGTTCGAATTACACTTAGACTCTTGTGGGGGGCCTGCAAAAAAAATGGGGTGCTCACCACAGTGCTCTAATAAAATCAGAGGCCCCCCCAAGTTATGATTTTCAAATCTTAGAGGGGATTTTGTTTCTTATGGTGGGTCTCAGCTCCCACAAGCTCCCCCATAATTCAAACCCTTGTCCTTATTACCAGGAGCAAAGCTGGAATCTACTCCTTAATGAAATAAATCCCATCAGAAGCTGTGATGCTTGTGACACCATAGCAGGCTGCTTTATTAAATCAACAGGCACACAAGCAAGGCTAGGGGGATACAGTTTGCCACCTTGAAATACATTGGGCCCACTCTTGAAATATCCATTTTCGTTACTTTGAGCAGTGCCAGCCTCTTCTCAGTGCCACAATTGAGGAGTGGGGAATGGAAGATTGCTACCTGCCCTGTGCTCTGCAATTGTGGAGCAGGGACAGGGCTCCCTGCTGCCAGGGTATGGAGACATTTTCCCCACCTGGGGTCCAATGATGGAGCCTGCCCTGGCAGCAGGCAGCCCCTGGGGGCAGAGAGCAATCTCCCACCCCCTGCTGCCTAGCTGACTGGGAGCAAACTTGCTCCCAGTCAGCCATCTACAAATGCATTAATGCGTTCAGGAAGCATCTGCATATGTAGACAGTGATGCACAGTAAAGCGTCTTGTGTAGACATGCCCAGGGGGACTGAAAGCATCACATCATTGGTTCAAAACAGCAGAAGTGCTGACATTGAGCCCTCCTTAAGTAACTATAATGATGAAGTCTAATGTTATCATACATAATATATTTCACTCAATGGGTCTTTCAGTAAAGCTATATATCTAGCATTTATACTAAAGGAACAGGTTAGGGGTGGGGGAGGTGACTGGGATACCTACTTGTCCAAGAGTGCATTCCATGCCACCAAGAAAATCTGCTTCTTTCAGCCCATTGTGATTGCTGCTAATGTCATGGACTTCAAACCGTAATCGCTGAACCTCTTCAAAGTAGAAGTCCACGGTGAAAAGCTTGGAGAAGATTGGGTTTATACAGGTTCGAATCACTTCTGTCCTGTCAACCTGCCATAAAAGAGAATGCACATCAGTGATTTCTTACTCTATCTGTGATGAGCTACAACTTGGACTAAATTGAAAATGAAATAAAAAATATAAAGTAATTACATTCCAGTTAGGTGACTGAAGAATCCTTAAAGAGCAAATACATTATTTTGAATCCAAATTGTTGCTGTTTTTATTTAAATAGATTTAATACACTAACATTAATAGAATTTTTTCTATATAGCGTATGTTTAAAAATGTCCCTATATTATTAGAAACCGATAGGCAGTGACACCATTATTTACTATTACGGTTTCATAAGAAAAAGGAACTCCAAAATGTTTTGAGGTACTCTTGTTCAAGGCACAGGTTTCAGAAACAAAACAAATTCAATTCCATAGACCTCACAATTTAAGTTAGAATACTCAATGAGTGAATAAACAGATCAATGGAAGAGTGGTGTAAGGACAACATGACAATACAGGCAGATCTGTTTCATCAGTGAGTATTTACAGGAATCTCAGTAATTCATAGGACATGCAAGTAACAAAAGGCAGTGAGTGAGAGAACAGAGCAAGTTGAATAAAACACAAAGAGCAAACAAACCTCATAAAGTGTGGGCATATCTACACGTGCCACTATGGCACTGTTGTTATTGCACCATCATTTTGTACTTCTTTTTGGAAGTACTACAAGATGGCATAGTAACAGCTGATACTGTGCATGCCGCGTATGGTTATTTTTAGGCACTATGTCACTGTAGTGACATGGTATCATGGGGGAGCATGTCACTATGGTGATGTAGCTGTGGTGTCATGGGTTTTGCCCATGGACGCTATACTGCTATAGTGCATTGCTATGGCAGTGTAGCATCATGTGTAGATGTGCCCTGTAAAAAGGAAACTAGGGTCCAAATCTCTCTCTAATGCAGCCCCATTGCGGTGAATGAAGTTACACCAAGGATGAATCGGGCTGTTCTGTCCTGACCGAGGTTTCTAAAAAACTATCACTTTTATTTTTACAGTGCCTCTTTAACTGGATAATTTTGCGATTTGACTTGGTTCTTTTATATTCACGTCTTGGCTAGGGATAGAAATGACACATGAACCAGTATAAGTTATCAGAAACCAGCTCAAATCTGTAACACAACAGAAGTTCAGTGCATATAACCTGTTTTCAAAATGTCCGAAACCAGTTTAAGATAAACCTAGATGGACGTGGTATCAGACTTAACTGATTTAGGTTAAACTGGTCTATTGAACTCCTGTCCCAAATCCCCATCACATTCAAATTAACTCACAGTCCCCTAGCTTCCCAGGATGCTTTGCACCTCCCCCCACAAACCACACTTCACAGGGCAGGCAGCTAGCCTGGGCCCAAGTTGCCTGCTCCAGCTGAGTAGGGAGATATGCTCTAGCACCCCCTGACTTCTGACCAGGACCACTGCAGGCACGTGGTTGTATTTCCAGAATAAAAGTGAGTATCTGTTCGCTTGCTTATTGGATCACTCTACACAGCTTAGACTAACCTGAGAAGACTGAACCAATTCAGCCTTGGGCTTTTTGATCATCTGTACTTAGCCTTTAAAATATTAAAAAGAGGGACGTCACTAAGCCGAAGAAACATAATATCACCTCTTCCATTTTTCTTTAACTCTGTACTTTTCATTCACACCACCAACAAGAGTAATGCTGATTGACACTTTCTACAGCTCTTTATCCAAATCTTTACACATAAGAAGATCATCAAAATTAAAATGATTCCTGGGCTCGGAAGAGCTCATAGGCTCTAAAACACTTAGGAAAATTTATAACTAGGCAGAGACCATACCTATAGACTGACTGGTCTTTGTAAGCAAACCTGAGAATATTGGTAGAGCAGTATGAAGTAATTAATTATGCTGCTACCCAGGCTAACAACTTAGGTAAATAATTAAAGGATTTCAGTCTTTGGCATTACTTGTCCATTACTTTGCAACAACTGAGGTGACACAGAAAAATTAAAAATTAAAAGGAAAAAATAAACAGAAAGCCTTTGGAATTGCTCACTTGGAACAATTTACATAAGGAAAGGTTGGAAAAATCAGACTGTGGGAGAGTTACTTATAAAATGATCTCTTTTCCCCTCTTTATTAAGCTACATACTAAGAATATCCAGTAAGTTATCCCAGACTCATCCTCACATTTATACAGTGAGCCTAAAACTGTGGAAGAAATACTTTTAGAGACAAATGTATTGCTTGGCCTCCAGAAGAGTGCAGAGCTCTGCAGACACAGTAGATGGTTTCTGATCTGAAGAGGTAGGATTTTGCTACTTTTCATTATGATGAATTAGGGCTGACACTGTAAGCAATGGAACAATTTCCTTTTTCCACACTCTTTGCCCTAGTCCAGGAAATAACTAATAATTCTGTAAGATTAAAGGAACTGATCCTAAAATGAAATGGGACTTGAGAATGTCAATTGTCATGTAAGAGGAGACTGGTATGTCTCAGAAGGGACAAATTCAATCTGTTAGGGAAA